TCATCAGATTATTACAAACAACTCTATGCACATAAACTAGTAAACCTGGAAGAAAGGGATAAATTCCTGGACACTTGCCTCCTCCCAAGCCTAAACCAGGAAGAAGTCAAAACCCTGAATAGACCAATGACAAGGTCTGAAGTTGAGGCAGCAATTAAGAGCCTACCACCCAAAAAAAAGCCCAGGTCCAGATGGGTTCACAGCTGAATTCTACCAGACATACAAAGAGGAGCTGATACCATTCCTTATGAAACTATTCCAAACAATCCATAAAGAGGGACTCCTTCCCAAATCATTTTATGAGACCAACATCATCCTGATACCAAAACCTGACAGAGACTCAGCAAGAAAAGAAAACTTCAGGCCAATATCCATGATGAAGATAGATGCAAAAATCTTCAATAAAATACTGGCAAACTGATTCCAACAGCACATCAAAAAGCTTATCCAGGATGCAAGGCTGGTTCAGCATATGCAAGTCTATTAATTCACCACATAAACAGAACCAAAGACAAAAACCACATGATTATCTCAATTGGTGCAGAGAAGGCCTTTGACAAAATTCAACAGCCCTTTATGCTAAAAACCCTCAATAAACTAGGTATTGATGGAACGTATCTCAAAATAATAAAAGCTATTTACGACAAACCAACAGCCAATATCATACTGAATGGGCAAAAACTGGAAGCATTCCCTTTGAAATCTGGCACTAGACAAAAATGCCCTCTCTCACCACTCCTATTCAATATAGTATTGGAAGTTCTAGCCAGAGCAATCAGGCAAGAGAAAGAAATGAAGAGTATTCAAATAGGAAAGGAGGAAGTCAAATTGTCTCTATTTGCAGATGACATGATTGTGTACTTAGAAGACCCCATCATCTCAGCCCAAAATCTCCTGAAACTGATAGGCAACTTCTTCAAAGTCTCAGGATACAAAATCAGGTTATAGAAATCACAAGCATTCCTATACACCAATAGCAGACTTAAAGAGAGCCAAATCGAGAATGAACTGCCATTCAAAATTGTTACAAAGAGAATAAAATACCTAGGAATTCAACTAACAAAGGATGTAAAGGACCTCTTCAAGGAGAACTACAAACCACTGCTCAACGAAATAAGAGAGGACACAAATAGATAGAGAAACATTCCATGTTCATGGTTAGGAAGAATCAATGTTGTGAAATGACTACACTGCCCAAAGTAATTTACAGATTCAGTGCTATCCCCATCAAGCTACCAATGACCTTCTTCACAGAAGTGGAAAAAACCACCTTAAACTTCATATGGAACCAAGAGAGAGCCCACATAGCCAAGTCAATCCTAAGCAAAAAGAACAAAGCTGGAGGCATCATGCTACCTGACTTCAAACTATACTACAAGACTAAAGTAATAAAAACAGCATGGTACTGGTACCAAAACAGAGATATAGACCAATGGAACAGAACAGAGGGCTTGGAGGCAACACAACACATCTACAACCATCTGATCTTTGACAAACATGACAAAAACAGGCATTGGGGAAAGGAGTCCCTGTTTAATAAATGGTGTTGGGAAAACTGGCTAGCCATGTGCAGAAAGCAGAAACTGGACCCCTTCCTGACACCTTACACTAAAATTAACTCCAGATGGATTAAAGACTTAAACATAATACCTAACACCATAAAAACCCTAGAAGAAAACCTAGGCAAAACCATTCAGGACATAGGCATAGGCAAGGACTTCATGACCAAAACACCAAAAGCATTGGCAGCAAAAGCCAAAATAGACAAATGGGACCTAATCAAACTCCACAGCTTCTGCACAGCAAAAGAAACAGTCATTAGTGTGAACTGGCAACCAGCAGAATGGGATAAAATTCTTGCAGTCTACCCATCTGACAAAGGGCTAATATCCAGAATCTAAAAAGAACGAAAACAGGTTTACAAGAAAAAGCAAACAAGCCCATTCAAAAGGAGGGTGAAGGATATGAATAGACATTTTACAAAAGAAGACATACATGAGGCCAACAAACACATGAAAAAAATGCTCATCATCACTGGTCATTAGAGAAATGCAAATCAAAACTACACTGAGATACCATTTCATGCCAGTTAGAATGGCAATCATTAAAAAATCTGGAGACAACAGATGCTGGAGAGGATGTGGAGAAATAGGAACACTTTTACACTGTTGGTGGGAGTGTAAATTAGTTCAACCATTGTGGAAGACAGTGTGGTGATTCCTCAAGAACCTAGAAATAGAAATTTCATTTGACCCAGTAATCCCATTACTGGGTATATATCCAACAGATCATAAATTGTTCCACTATAAGGACACATGAACATGAATGATCATTGCAGCACTGTTTACAATAACAAAGACCTGGAACCAACCCAAATGCCCATTGATGAGAGACTGGACAGGGAAAATGTGGCACATATACACCATGGAATATTATGCAGCCATCAAAAATGATGAGTTCGTGTCCTTTGTAGGGACATGGATGAACCTAGAAACCATCATTCTCAGCAAACTGACACAAGAACAGAAAATCAAACACCACATGTTCTCACTCATAGGTAGGTGTTGAACAATGAGAATGCAAGGACACAGAGAGGGGAGCATCGCACACTGGGGTCTGTCAGAAGGAAATAGGGGAGGGACAGCAGGGAGTAGGGAGTTGTGGGGAGATAGCATGGGGAGAAATGCCAGATACAGGTGATGGGGAGGAAGGCAGCAAATCACACTGCCATGTGTGTACCTATGCAACAATCTTGCATGTTCTTCACATGTGCCCCAAAACCTAAAATGCAATAAAAAATTTTTAAAAAAAGAAAAGCTACACTATTAAGAGTAAGGCAAAATAAATTCTATTTTCAGATAAAGTCTGTAAGGTTTACTACCCACAGGTCCTCACAAAAAGAAGGAACATACTTCTGCAAGAATATAAAAAACAAAAGCTAAAACTATGAGAAACAACATTAGGAAGGGCTATTCAATAGGTAATTAATTTATGCTAAAGCCTTTATAGTGGATAGAATAAAAATACACATTTAACTATACATTTTTCCATAAAAGTTCACTTGTTTTAGTATCTTAACTACTAAAATGGAATTTTAAAAAATCTGCAAAACTGGGGCCGGGCGCAGTGGCTCAAGCCTGTAATCCCAGCACTTTGGGAGGCCAAGGCGGGTGGATCACAAGGTCAAGAGATCGAGACCATCCTGGTCAACATAGTGAAACCCCGTCTCTACTAAAATTACAAAAAATTAGCTGGGCATGGTGGCGTGTGCCTGTAATCCCAGCTACTCAGGAGGCTGAGGCAGGAGAATTGCCTGAACCCAGGAGGCGGAGGTTGCGGTGGGCCAAGATTGTGCCATTGCACTCCAGCCTGGGTAACAAGAATGAAACTCTGTCTCAAAAAAAAAAAAAAAAAAAAAAAAAAAAAAAAAAAAAAATCTACAAAACTGTCAATTCTGCAGAATGTAGGAAACATGAAAAAATGAGCAAAGAAAATAATGGCAAACAAAAAAAATGCAAAATGAGATGTTTAAATATATCAGTACTCATAGTAACTTTAAGTGGATTAAATTCTTCCTCTAAAAACAAAAATTACAGATTGGATTTTTTCATCCAGCAAAAATAAGAAATGGACAAATTCACAATCATAGCTTGAGATTTTTATACAAATCTGAGAAACTGGCATAGATCAAATAGATTTAAAAAATAGAAGGGATATAGAAACTTTTAATCAATTATGTTTTATCTAATATATAAAACTTTGCTCAAACCAAATAATATACATTTTTTTCAGACATACACAGATCAGTTCCCAGAGAGAATTCTAAATCACAAAGGAATTTGAAAGAAAAAAAAATCCTAAAATCCATGTTTTCTGACAGCAGGTTATTTAAATTAGAAGCCAGCAATAAACAGGTAGCCACATAAAGCCTAACATGCTTAGAAATTTCGAAAGGCACTTCTAAACAACTTATGAAATAGAGTAAGTCATGATGGAAATTATAAATACCTCTTGCTGAATGACCATAAAAATACTAGCACTTTTAATGGCAAATACCACGAGTACTTTTGTACCAAACTGAGGGTTAGAAATCCCCTGGTTTGGGTTGCTCTCCAGCCCCAGCAAATCAATAATGATCTGTCTTAAGTAAGAGCAGTAATTCCTCTCCCTTCAGCAGTGATTGGTCCGGGGCGGGCACATGATCTAGCTCTTAGCCAATGAGAAGTCAAGTGAACTCTGGGACTTTCTTTTATTAATAGGATAGGGTCCTGAAGTAAAGCCTTTTGTCCCATCTTTCCTTCCTGCTTTTGTCAGTGTCCTGTAATCAAATAGTGTGTGGCACTGCAGCCACTGTTTCAGGCAGTGAGTTTAAGGACAAAGACAACTGCTGGAGATGCCAGAGCAGAAATATGAGAAGAGCTTGGATTCTTGGATACACTGAGCCTCTGCCACAGCTTTGGAATTGCCAGCCTTCGGATGTTTTGCTAGAAAAGATGATATTTCTTCTTTGTTTAAGCCACTATCAGCCAGGCACACTGTCACTTGCAGTTGTAAATTTTACAATGAATGCCATCACATTCCCAATGCCATATTCCCCAGATTACCTTCAGAGAAGGAAACTAAAGCTAGCAAACCCTTGAAGGTACAGGGATCAGCGTTCTAGCTAAGGTGTTTGGACTTTTCCTGGGTGGGAGATGTGTTCAGAAGACCCTCCCATCTCCAATGTGCCAACATCTACCTATGCTACTTACCTCTCCCTTGCTTCACGTCCTGCCATGGTTCCCCATTGCTTTTAGGATGGAGTCCAAACTCCTCACTTATGGGCCTGTAACATCTGGCTCTTGCTGTCCCCCTGGCATTACCAGTGATGCACACTTTTTGAATTTTGTGTGTGTTGCATTTCAAAAATAGTTTGAAACAAAGTTAACCAAGTAGCGTGAACACCCTGCTCCCTAATCTCAACTATACCTTCAACAGTATTTACTTCTTTTCCTCCACAGACCATTTTCCATGGGCTTGTGCTCCTCAGCAGCTTCCTGATGTACTTTCTGGTATCCCTCCTGTACAACGCCACCTGCGTCATCTGCAACAGCCCCACGAATCCCTACTGGGTGATGGAAGGCCAGCTCTCAGACCCCACTTTCTACCTCGTCTGCTTTCTCACACCAGTTGTGGCTCTTCTCCCAAGGTTTGAGCACTGGGGCTATTTTTCTTTCCTAGAGTTTCCAATCTCCCCTTAATAAGCCATTTTTATAACCCAAGAGTCAGGAGTTTGACTTCTGCTAAGATCCTTGAGGGTGCTGTTTCAGAAAGAGAGCTAGGATAGAAAGAACAACGAACAACCAGGAGGCAAATAACATGGACTGTGGTCCCAGCTTAGCCACAAAGTAGTGAAGTCACAAAGTCAGTGTGACCTCAGTTGTGACATCTATAAAATGGGAATATCAATTCCCACTCTCCTGCCTTACAGTTTTTGTATATGTAATAAGGAATTATTTTGAGCTGCTCTATGGCTCTTTTTTATATTAGTTCAGGAATCTCATACTCAAATGCCTACAGGAACAAGCCAGCAAGTGCAGCAAGCCAGATGGAGGGCTGACATTAGAAGAAAGAACTTCTCAGCTTCCATCATGGCCACAAAGAAAGATCAAATGCTTCAGAGTTGTCTCAGAAATTCAAATTGTACATGAAATGGCCAGTGTTTAAATATTATTCAAATTTGTCTAAACGTACCCCTTCCATACAAGACCTGCATTAGTCAAATAAATTATCCACGCTCAGGGACTACGTTGGATATTTCCAGGTTAAACCCTCTGCAGTAAATGTACCTTTTCCAGAAAAATAGCAACAGCAACTATAAATGCCTTGCCTTTCCTGGGAGCTCACTCTTGACATAGGCTCTCCCATCTAGCCTCTCATTTTGCTTTTGCCGTGAGCTAAGTGTTGGGCAGACCTATGGTTCTAGTACCCCGCTCATGGGACAGCTGAAGTACCAAGAGGGACCAGAATGTGTTCACAGGCCTAACACAAATCACAGTGGGAGCTAGGCTCTCCCAACTCAAAGGCCAGTGTTCTATTCTGCAGCCCACACTCTCTAGTCAGAGCAGTGAACTTGACAAATGATGTATACACAGGCAAGACTTAGCCTCTCTCCATCCCGAGGATCTCACAACCCTGAACGTCACTCTTAAGCATTTTATCATTCTAAGCTATAACCAATAGACAATTACAACATTATACAGAACTTGTTTGATCCCAAAATCAGAGAGCCATCAACCAGCCTTACTTCCTTTAATATAAGTTCGGTAGTTTGCTTAACTAGCTTCTCTTGTCCCTACCCTCTCTTGTCTTGTAACTTTATACTCTCTCCATAAACAGCAATCACTATCATGGATTTAAAAATTATTTTTAGCAGATGACTCTTCACCTTAAATTCCCAGCCCAGACCTCTCATGAATTCCAGACACATCTTTCTAGCAAGTTATTCATCACCTCCACTGGGCATATTAAGTCTGAGGAAACTGGGAGACATTTCTAATTGAATTCATGACTCTACCCTCTGTCACCACCACCACCCCAGAAATCTGGGTATCTCCAGAGTTTCTTTCAGTAAATACTACCCACTTAGGACAAAGGCAGGCCCCGGGAAATTATTATTGACATTACCTGCCAACTCATGCCTATATCTAGCCTTTCACCAAGTACTGACAGTTCTAGCCACGATGTATTTCTCAAACCCATCTACTATTTCCATTTCGACAGCCACTACTACCAATAGACTATTACCCTTTCACCCCAAATTACTTCAGTAGTCTCCTACTGAATCTCACTGCAGTCCATTAACATTGGCTCAAAGTGTGATCATGTCACCTGTTCATAACCCTCCAAGGGCTTACCAAGACCTCTGCAATAAAGCACAGAAACCATAAACCTGGCCCACAGTTCCTGCCGCTCTGCTTCTGCCAACCCCTCCTGGGTTGTATTCTCTTGCTTTTATCATCACTTCCCAAGCTTCAGCCAGTTGTACCTAGGTTTTGATTCTCATCCCCTTGGTGTGGCTACCTCCTATACATCTTGCAGTTTTCAGCTTTAGAAGGTTATTTTGTGTAAACCTTTCCCTCAAGCCACCACCTTCCTCCTCCATTCATTTATTCAACAAATACTTTTCAAGTCCCCACAATGGCCCAGGCCCCCAAGAAACTGAGCCATCAACACAAAAGACAAGATCTTTGCTGTCACGTAACATGTGAATCCAGTTATAAATGGAGGGACATTTCCTTAAGAAAGAAACAGTTAGGTGCTGATGGGACATGGGCTTGAGAAATATGTAGTGGGTGGAACTGTCAGCACTTCCTTCCTTGAGGAAGAAGCATTTAATTTCAGTGAGCAGGATTCTGACACTCTCATTGCCTTCTCTATTTATAACTATGTTCCTGTGTTACATTGCAGTAAGGACCTTGTCTTTCCTATTCATGGCTTAATCCCTTGGGGGCCTGGCCCATTGTGGCAACTTGAAAAGCATTTGTTGAATAAATGAAGGGAGGAGGAAGACAGTGGCTTGAAGGAAAGGTTTACACTAAGGAAATTCCAGTTTTGAAGCAAAAACTCAAATACTTCCTGGAACATATACATGGTCCCTACGACCTCCCGGGCGAGATGAGAGAGAATGGAGAAAAGTTGATCTGGTTCCATGAGATCTAATGTAATTTTCAGAAACCTCTGGGTGGTCCCCCTGCAGCTTTTAGACATAGTGGAAGAATGGGCGCCTTCCTGCTTATAAGGCTTTAAACATAAAAAATTTTTAAAGACTGTCTTTGGGAATGACCCTAGATGTACTCCAGGCCAAATGGATTACTTTTTAGATAAAGCAATGGACATCCAGAAACTAGATGTGAGTTGCACAGTGCCACAAACTTGTGTATATTTTCTTCATACAGCACATAGTTTTATTCACATTCTCACCCCTTTTCCTTGCCTACACTTTCAAAGAGAAGATTCTAAACACAGAAAAAGACACCCAATTCCAGAGTCTACTACAGACTGTATGCAGCTTGGCAGGGGGATAAAAACCTTGAGTCAGTCAACAGGGAGATCCTAACATCTCAGGAGACCTTGGGAATCTCACCTCACCTCTTAGGACCCTTACTTCTTTATCGGGAAAATCGTGGTAATATGATGACACTGTCAAGTCAGCAAGGTCCACAGATTCAAGAAAAGTATATGGATTTTAAAACTACTTTAAAATCATCAAGTTTCACAAAGGCTTAACATGACAGAGCAATTAAATTTGCCTAAATTGGAGTAGCCCAGAAATAGAAAGGACTGCTTTGTGCATGAAGAATAAGAGACAAGTCTTTGGATTCAGAGTGCGTGCTCCTGACCATAGCTCAACTACTGTGTGCCTGTAGACAAATCATTAAATCTCTCAGTCCCTCAGTTTCCTCATTTGTACGCAGAAGCAAACAAAAGTAATAACTGCATAGGATTGTTGGGAAAATAAAATGAGTTAGTAACACGTCAAGCACTTAGAGCAGTCCTGGTGTATAATAAATGTTAGCTTTTATGTTTTGTTGTTGTTACTTTTGTTGTTGAGCTCCCCAAACTAGAGGTGCCCGAACATGGATTTAATAATCATCAACTAGGAGTGCAGTAAAGAGGATCTTGCCCTGGGCAGGGAGTTGGATTGTAAAGACCCCCTTTCAATGCTAGTTTATGAAGTCAACAGAAATCAGAAAATATCATTTTTCTGTTATTTCCCACCAGGTGCTTTTTCCTATCTCTACAAGGAACCTGTGGGAAGTCTCTAATCTCAAAAGCTCAGAAAATTGACAAACTCCCCACAGACAAAAGAAACCTAGAAATCCAGAGTTGGAGAAGCAGACCGAGGCCTGTCCCTACACCTGAAGTGGCTCGACCCACCCACCACTCAGTGTCATCTATCACAGAACAGGACTTCAGTGCCAGCACCCCAAAGAGCTCTAACCCTCCCAAGAGGAAGAACACAGAAGAGTGGATGATCCATGAACAGAGATGCGGCAAAGGGTGCATGAGGGATGACTCATGCTCAGGGGACTCCTCAGCTAAACTTTCATCCGGGGAGCACCTGCTGGGGCCTCACAGGACAATGGCCTACTCAAGAGAACAGACTGATATGTCCCGGCACTCAAAGAGGGGCAGCCATCGCCGATCCCAGAGTTCACTGACCATATGAGGAACTACAGAAATCCATACAAACTCAACATAGGCCACCCAATCACTGGCCCAAGTAACCCTTGACACCTTCCTCTTCACAGAGGAAACATTGTGCCAGAGTTATTCTTTTTTTCCCCCAGTAAGCTTGACTTCCTTGGAGGAAGGGCTGGTCCCAAGGGGGTTGACACAAAGACTGGAAAACCAGTCAGCCTCTAGTTTTCTGTGGCTGCCAGGCAGCACATCTTGCAGAGTTTAGATAAGGAGGCTGTTTTTGTTGCATTGAGTTCTCAAATTGGTTTAACCCAAAACCACTCTTCTGACCGTCTAGATAAGTGCAGCCTACAATCCAATGCAATTGGGCTGTAAGTTTCCAAGATTCCAAGAAGTGTATCAACCCAAGCAATATCTCAGGGTATGGAAGTTTCTGGGTTTATTTACATCTCAGTGCCCAGAGTTAAAGTTTCAGAAGAGACTTGTACAGCCCTAAGAGACTTAGGGCTTCACCTCAAGTGTATTGCCGTGATGGGCGAGTTGGGATTATCCCTTCCATGCACAGAGAGTTGGTTCTGCTTTTTGTCTCTAAGCCAAAGAAAAGCCACATCTAAAGATGAAAAGTGTATTTGAACTCAGTGCCACAGACTCTTCTGAGGGTTGTAGGGTCACAGCTAGTGTAAGAGGCATGAAGAATAGACATGCAAAAGGGAACAGATGCACCAGAGACCCCTGTTTTGGTTGACGGACCACGTGTCCCAACATCTGGGGAATCTGACAAGAGGACATAGGCAGCACTTTTTTTTTTTTTTTTTTTTTTTTTTTTTTGTGACGGAGTCGCTCTGTCACCCAGGATGGAGTGCAATGACATGGTCTCGGCTCACTGCAACTTCCGCCTCCCGGGTTCAAGTGATTCTCCTGCCTCAGCCTCTTGCATAGCTGGGATTACAGGCACCTGCCACCGCACCCGGCTAATTTTTGTATTTTTAGTAGAGACAGGGTTTCACCATGTTGGCCAGGCTGGTCTCAAACTCCTGACCTCATGATCCACCCACCTCGGCCTCCCAAATTGCTGGGATTACAGGCATGAGCCATCCAGCGGCACTTTTTAAAACATATTTATTGTATTTATTTTTAAATAAAATTACTCATCCTCATTCAGCTCTTAGAACAAAAGAAATAAAAAACCCTGTTAATCAGGAGGTATAAGCACATCTGCACCCAGAAAAGGCCCATACGATAGAGCAACCCAGAGCTTAAACAATGACATCTTTGAGGGCAGAGCTAACATGAAACCCCATTCAGCTTATGCCAGAATACCACCCTCTGGAAGACACTGGCCTTTGGTTAGAGAGAGTCAGAGCAAGTGTCACTTCACAGGGAAAAGAAGGATTATGTAGACTCCCTATCCTTAAAGGTTATAAATGTCAAGTATATAAAAGAGCTCAAAACAGTGTTAAAAGAATGAACAGTAGAATTTTAATAGGCTGTCAAGAGAAGCCAAGTCTGCTCTGGGAAAGTATAGCCTAACCCTAGTCTTGTAAAAATAAGTCAGAAAGGGTTACTGGGCCACATTAATCTAGTACCTATATATTAGGCAAAAAGTACAGAAATAGATGTACAAAGTGTAGTGAGTCTTTGAGCCTATGAGTCATGCCACCAGCCATGAGTTGACCTATCACTTGAGTAACTCCTCAGCAAAGATGCCAGAAAACATTCGATCAAGTTGGCAAATGGCACAGGGAGCTGGCCCTCTGACCATCTCCCTGCCAAACCTGGACTGGAAGGACCCTTTGCAGCACCCTTCTAGAGCCAATGCACTGTGTCTCACTGCCTCTGCTACATAGTGATGCCAGGACTAGCCAGCTAGTGGGTATTTGGGGGAATCCTGCAAGAGGATTGCCCAGGAAGGGGCAGGTACATATACCAGGAAAAGCAGTGATGATGTGAAATGTTCCTAGTGAGGGGATTGAGTCAAAATCTGGATCTCAGGTACCCCGATTTTTCAAACAATTTCTGGCTACTACTAAAAGCCAGAAAGAACAGAAGAGTGGCCTTAGGAGATCTGAGTGTGAGTCCTTGCTTGCCTCCATTCTCCCTAGGATGCAGGAGCCTTGAAGCAGGATGCCACACCTGCAAGTTGGTTAGAAGTGCCTTTCTTCCCAGGCTTGATATAAGTATTAAGTCAAAATTACGTGAAACCCAGTGGCAAAAAGCCTCAGAAAGCTGGAACACCCTCAGTAATAACAAAAGGGATTTTTATTTCAGGGCTAAGGGGAAAAGAGATGACAGAAAAGTTGAAAAAAAAAAAAAAAGTCTCATCCTCTTCCTAAGTTCCAACCTATAGCCAACATTCTGATGCTGCTCGTTTTCTTGTATGACCAACCATCCCAGTTTGCCTGGGACTTTCTCATTTTTTACAGAGTTCCAAATCCTAAGAAACTGGGCGAACTGGTACAACTGGTCACCTACTCTTGCACCTCTATAAATCAAGCCAACTGTGACCATCCAATGTGCCATCTTACAGGGAAAAGTTATAACAACTATTCCCCTGTAACATAACACTAATGATTGTACTTAATACATTTTTGTACTTTTATGATATTTTACTGATTGGAAATATGTCATCCTTTATTTAAAAAAAAAAAAAAAAAAAACACATGGTTTTCCATAGTTGCCTGCTAACCTAAGTTCATATTATTCTTCTTTTATATTATCATCACTAGTTCTGAGGGCTTTCAAAGAGCTTTTTTTTTTTGAACAATAATATCTTTAATATAACTTTTGTGTGTGTGCATAGAAACCATATAAGTAAAAAAAAAATGAGATTACATAGGTGATTATAATACAAAAGTGGGAAAAAACCTTCCTGATATATGGTAAAGCTTAAAAGAGACCCTTCAGAAGAGTAGCTGACCCACCTTGGGGCCATGACTGCTCTTCTCTTTCCCCACAGCCTTAGTACTTTTTGCCAAAAGGCCCGGATTTGAGTAAAGGGGAGCGCCGTGAGCGTAGGATTCGGGCATAAGGGCTGCAGTCTGTTGAGCTTTGGCAGGTTGGTGTCCAGGGAAGTAAATTTCGAAGAAATGGTTTTTTCCCGGGGGGCTGTTGGTTTGGTTGCTGGTTTTCCTGGTTGTCACCCATCCTCTTTTGCACTCATTCATTTATTCATTCATTCATCTATCTATCCAAAGTTTCTGTTAAGCTGCTACTAGATGCCTGACAATGTATGAGGTTTTATAAGGAGGTCAATCTGTCTTTGAGAAGCTCATATGTTTGTTGAACATCCAGTGCCACCAACCCCCACTGTATAGAGTATCAGGAACATATTCGGCTATTGGACCCAACATGAAAGTAGGACACAAACCAAAAGCACTGTCAGGATTGGAAGCAGCACATGCAGTCTGGCATTGTAACCTGGCTACTCCTCTCCTCCTGGAAGCCCGCCACCAACCTCAAATCCAGACTGATGTATTCAATCAGTATCAACTGTGTACCTGTTCGACATAGCACTGTGATAGGCAGCCAGGATAAAATAGGGAACAAAAATAAGCCCAGTTCCTGCTGCTAAAAAAACATTCCCAATCTAGAAAGGGAGACAGATAATATGAAGGAAGCCAATCAATGTGATATTACACACTATGAGAGGAGGCAAGAATGGAGATGAAAGGAGAGGAGGGGTTCCCAGGATAGTCCAAGAAGGAGGTATTTCAGCTGAGACCTCAAGCATGAGACCAAGACAGCAAAGAAGGGCCCTTCCAGAGAATTAAGTACAAAAGCCCCAAAGAAGGAGAAGAGTTTGGTGTATTTAAGGAAAAGGAAGGAAGTTAGTGTGACTAGAAGCCAACAAGACAGAGGAGGTGCCAGGATCACGTTAGTAGTAATGACTGTATTTGCTCACTGTGTGCTAGGTGATGGTCTAAGCGCACATCATCATGGAAACCTCATGGCAGCTTTATAAGGTTAGGGTGGTTACTCTCCCCTATTTCAGCTAGCTTCTGCTGCATAACAAGCCAACCCAAAATTTAGTGAGCTAATGCAGCAATCATTTCTGTGCCCATGATGCTGTGTGTAGGCAACTTGAGGGTGGACTCCGCCAGGATATCTCACTTCTGCTCCACACAGAACCAGCTGAACTTGCTTCTATGTGGGGCTTTGGCTGGTATGGCTGGGATCTCTCTCCACATGGTATCTCATCCTCAAAGAGGCTGGCCTGACCTCGTCACATAGCAACAATCTGGGAGTGAGAACAGAAGCTGCAAAGCCTTTGAGATCTAAGCTCACACACATCCTCACTGCCCACCACATTCTGTGGACCAAGTCCAGTTTCAAGGATATAGGAAATACATTCCACTTGTAATGGGAAGAGCTGTAAATAAACTTGAGGCCATTTGAAATTTACCACATCCTCATTCTCAGAGAGAAGTAAAGTTGATGTGTTATAAACATATCACAGTCATACAATTAATAAGCAGCAAGCTGGCATTCTAATCTGCAGAGTCTGAAACAAGAGGCTTTTTTTTTTTTTAGCAGGGAGGTTCACTTTTTCACCCAGGCTAAAGTGCAGTGGCATGATCTCGGCTCAATGCAACCTCCGCCTCCTGGGTTCAAGCAATTCTCCTGCCTCAGCCTCCTGAGTAGCTGGGATTACAGGCACCCATCACTACACCAGTTAATTTTTGTATTTTTTTTTTTCAGTAGAGATGGGGTTTTGCCACATTGGCCAGGCAGGTCTCAAACTCCTGACCTCAGGTGATCCACCTGCCTCAGCCTCCCAAAGCACTAGGATTACAGGCATGAGCCACCGTACCCAGCAGGGGGTGTATTTTTGACCACAGGGCTACACCGCCGCAAGATGAGGCTGGGGGGCATGTGGGGACCAGATTTCAGAAGGACTTGTCGTATCAACATTCTCTTGAGAGGCAAGGTGGTGCAGTGCAGCCCTGAAAATCAGTAAGCCTGAATTTTATCCAACTCTGGCATAGACCTACAGCATGACCTAGGAGAGGACCACAACCACCGTGTCCAGCCGGGTTGCTGCCAAGACAAAAGCTTCCGTAAAGAAGGAAGATACTAACACCTTGGGAGAACCAGAATTCATTCCTGCATTGCCTTAACATATCTCTCCCTGAACTGGGCACCCAGCCAGTCCTCATGTACACGGAGAGCCCCAAGGAAGTCAGTCACACAGGAGTAAATCCTCCCAGGTGACCAAAAAAGAGAAACCCCAAGGGAGCCTGGGACCCAGGCAGGACTCCACTGATAAAGGAGGTGGGGGTTATGAGCTGGGGCAATGCCCTGAGCAGGCAGGCCTTTTGAGGGACTACCAGAGGAGCGTCACCCAGCCAAAACTTCAGGTCACCAGCAATGAGATTGTCAGACAGGAACCAAGTCCAGGACTCTTTTTGTTTGAAGGTGTTCTGGTGCCACCTAGCATCAGTGAAGGAGGTGCCTCACTGAGGGTTCTTACTGTTCTTACTGCAGGGAGAACAGGACTGAAGGTGGCAGGTTGGGTGAGGAGAGTGTATGGAGATGAAGCCAGAAGTCGGAGGCCAGGTTTCAACTTCGGGCCTGCCAGCAGTTTCCATGATGCCTCTGGACAAATCTTGTCACCGGGTTCTAACCTCAGTTTCCTCAGACTCTCAAGGTGGGAACTAGACTGGTTCTATCATGCTGTGATTCTAGAATCTATTTGGGAAGGCTGGTTACAGGGTAGGCATGAACTCTAGTATATTCAACACCTTGTGATTGACTATTTGTACAGCTTGCTCGCTCTCTCTCCCTCCCT